CCACGTAACACGGCCTACTTGTTTTCCAGGCTTGTCGTGCACGCAGGTATACTCTCTGACATGACTGAGAGAAGTCTTTATTATTTGTTTGTTTCTTGTTTTTTGTTTTTTTTAATAATTTACAATTTAGGAAAAGGAAATCTTTGGATGTGTTAATAAAACTCAAAATCTTGACTAATTAAACCGAACATGTTAAAATTTAAGAGCAAAGAACTTGGACCGGAAGCCCAGTTGCTTATTTTTGTTTTTTAACTGGACTTTATTCATTGACTTGAATTATCTGCAGCTTTTGTATTTTCTAAGAAGACTGAAAGACGCTGTGCCGATCTTTCACTTTTCTATCATAGAGGTTATTATACCATCTCTATCATAATACCCACATGCCACAAGTAAAATTTTTTTTTTTTAGCTGTTAGGATGTTATTGATTTAACTTGCACATACTTTGACACCAATCGCTCTTTGTCCATATTATATTATCATTATTGTTATTTTTTAAGATGAGGTTAGTTTCTAAAATTCAATGGTTGAGTTGATGGTAAATAAATATCATTTTATAAGTAAAATATAAAATTTAAATTATTAAGCTACTATTTATGTAAATTCATTTTTTTAAATATAATAAATCAACGTGAGATTACAAATTTAAAATCACTCAGAAAAAAATTAATCTCAAGATACAAACACTAACCATGGACATCTTGATAAATGAAACCAAAAAATGTTGTAAACATTATTTACTTTTGGGTAAATAACTATGAGTTTCCTAAAACTAAGTTTGAAATTTCGAATTAAAATGTAAAATTAAGGTTCAATTGACCTAAGAAGAGAATAGCAGAAAAAAACCAGGCACCATCTATAAACTGATAAACATCAATTTCCCATAAACAATTCTAGCATTAAAAATAACAAAATGACATAATTATAATATTACGTGCATGATATTATTACAATTAATGTTACAATGCTATAGTTTCTAAATGATGTAAGAATGTTAGGATTAAGAGTTGAATTTATTAATAAGTAAATTATTTTGTAAGTTAAATTTAAATTTTAAATTAATATTTAAAAAATTAATTTTTTTAAATATCATATATAGGTTAATTATAGAGATTGTTGAAGGCTTGTGAAAATTGATCCAGAGACTTTCTCACAGTCCAAACCAAAATGCTGTATGCATTGCTAACTTTGGTAAATAATTATGAATTTTTCGGATTTTTTTTCTTTTTATTTATCAACATGATTTTCCGATTGTTGAGAAATATTAAATTAAGAATAATAACTTTGGGTAACTTAAGAAGATTGAAGGAAGCTGATCCGGTCTTTCATTTTTCTAATATAATACCCACATGCTGGGGGAAAATTTTCCATTATAATAAACACATACTACATGTACTAAAAAAAACATACTGCACGTACAGTAAAATTTTCTATTACAATACCCACATACTACAGGAAAAACATAAGGGTTTTTTTTTTTCTCAGAACAATTTGGGTAAAAGACTATGATTTTCCGATAACTAAAGTTTGGAATTTCCAGTTAAAGTGTGAAGTTAAGGTTCAATTG